GGTGGGCCGAAAAAAAGTGGGTCAAAAGCCGCAGCAGAGTGTGTAGCGCGCGGCTGTGGTCGTGTGTGCAAAGCTTCACGATCGTCCGAATGGCCGTAGTACACCCGTTTCAGGCAGAACTACGTTTTTAACCCGTTACCTACCCACCGTAACCCAAGAAAATGACGCTAACGTACAAAACCAATATGATATTCGGCATCAGCGGACCGAATAACCCCTCCCCCCGGCAAAGTTTCAGCGAAATCCACGCCAAAAAAATTTCGGAACCCGGATACTGGAATAGCGCCCTATAGACACTATCTCAAACACTTTTTCCGATCGCGCGCGTCTTCATGGAACCTATGTACCGTGTGAGCTGCGCGTTCAAATTTGTGGGCATAGCATTGCTGCCGTCGTCTCAAGGTACAGAAAAGTTCTAAACTTCTATCGAAACACATGGAGGAGCCCAGTTCAAAGTACCTATAGAAAAAAGAACTATTTATAGGACGTGCATATTTAGGGATCGTTCATACCGCGCACAAAGGCGGACGAAGGCGGACGAAGCCGGACAAAGGCGGAAAAAGGCGGACGAAAGCGCGTCTTGCCTCGTCTCGTTTCTCTCGACACACACACACTCACACATGCCTTCGTCCGCCTTTGTGCGGTTCGTCCGCCTTCGTCCGGCTTTGTCCGGCTTCGTCCGCCTTTGTGCGCGGTATGAACGATCCCTTACAAAAACTAAGATCAGCGACAAATGTGCTAGTAACTCGCTTGAGGTAACAATTTGCACTACTGGAAAAGGGACAAATCTTGCGGAATTCGGAGGAGAACTCTTCTTCCTCTCTTGAAATGTGAAAGTACAATGCCAGATTGAGAATTTCCACCCACCACGTTTCCTCAAAAGATGCGGCTCAATAGAGTTTTTTGAATAGAAGTACTGTATTCAATTTGTACTAAAATGAGAGCAATTCCAAGCATCGAAAAGCTATGAGCATAAACTATTTCACCAGCGCAAGGGCAAGAAAAAATACAAAAATGAGAACCTGCGCTGACGTTGGGTCAGGAAAAAGTGTTTGGAGCGCATCCCTCCTAGCACAGGGAGCCACACCGCGAACGGCTGCCGCTTTGCCGAGCTCAGTTAGGTATGCACCAAGACTCCGCGAGAGCTTCCGGCGGCAAAAAAGGGGGGGGGGGAGGAGTGAGGGCAGATACGCGATCTGATGCCGCTGTTGGGAGCTGCTATGTGCTGATTGACGTCGGGTGGAGGACTATATGTCGCCGAAAAAGGGCGGTCCCCGCGGTCATTTGCGACAAATACGCACCCTTGTACATGCGCGAACATGCGTTCTTGCAGGGAATCCGCGCGGGACTTCTCCAAATTCGGCGACATATAGTCCTCCACCCCTCTAACACTGGAGGGAAATCAGCAAGTGGGCGGGGTCTTCCCCACTGTGAATTCACGCTCCTAGCTTCGGGGGCGATCTTTCTGATTCCGGTTTCAAGTCATTCGTTTGCACTTGATCGGTACTGATGTCAGAACGGCTAACGGATTCGAGAAAATTGCTCTGGAAGCTGGAAGCGTGAATCCACAGTGGGGAAGACCCCGCCCACTTGCTGATTTCCCCGTTAGAGCCCTTTTTCGTCGTTTTCGCGCTTTCCAATGTGGATTTTCGGATTCAGCATAGCGAATAGGCCCGGGTAAGCACAAAATCTCAAAATCGAGTTCTTGCCCGGACATTGCCTTCAAAAGACTCGAAATAAGGCTTTGGCCATACTTTGCCCGTGTTGCCGGTGTTGAAAGTGTTGCCGGTGTTGAAAGTGTTGAACGGAGATCATCAGTCTAGCAGTTTCATTCTTTCTCGAACGATCTCACCGGCTGGTGAATACGTTGGAAATGGAATTGGGGAATGAGAAATGAAACTGAAATGAGATGGGGAATGTTTTCGCATACAAAAGATCCTCAAACAAACTTTTTGGAAAGTGAAGGACTTGTTTGAAAGAGGCAATCTCCAATATTTGAGAAAGCTGACGTCTGAGTAGTAATGTGTTTTAGTTCGAATCCTGCATCGCTTGCGAATAGTGAGCAAAGGACCCAATGGGAGGTGTTGCAGCCTTCCCAAATGTTGGAGATTGCCTCTTTCAAACAAGTCCTTCACTTTCCAAAAAGTTTGTTTGAGGATCTTTTGTATGCGAAAACATTCCCAATCTCATTTCAGTTTCATTTCTCATTCACCAATTCCATTTCCAACGTATTCACCAGCCGGTGAGATCGTTCGAGAAAGAATGAAACTGCTAGGCTGATGATCTCCGTTCAACACTTTCAACACCGGCAACACTTTCAACACTTTCAACACTGGCAACACTTTCAACACTTTCAACACCGGCAACACGGGCGAAGTATGGCCAAAGCCTAAGACTCGCTCTGAACTCTGTTTGCCTAAGGCCTCGGGCAGAGTTCACGCGATTTCATCGCCGCGTGATTCTCAAACAGGACAAGTGTTACGAGTTCATTGCATGTCGATCCTCCCGCATTTTGGTTGTGATAGTTTTCCAACGACTCGTGACTAACTAATATAACTTCATTGCAAGAGGATCGTCATGCAATGAACTCGTAACAGTTGTCTTGTGGAGAACCGCGAGGCTATGAAATCGCGTGAACTCTGCCCGAGGCCTACGGGTACGGCCATAGGTTACCGGAAGATGAGCTCGACAAGATTTTCTACTTGTAATAATATACTTATGGTTATTGTTACATCACTAAGATCCCGGGAACAGCTCACGCGATTGCTAAGTTGGACAAGTGTTCCGCGCCGCGCTGTATTGTGTGGGTCCCGACGCACTTGTGATGGGTGTCCAGAGCGACGAATCGCTACATTCAATGAGAATGAAAGCTTGAAAATGAAAATGAGCTTTACCGCCTGACTTACATGACTATGAGGAAGTGATCCAGCAATGGTTGGTGAACCCTCGATGTAAGTAAACAAATCAATAAATCGATTGAAGGGCCCAACAAACCGCAAAAAGTAGCCTCTCTTGTGCGCTGTGCCCTATTTACAGGGAGACGAGTTTTAGTCTCAACGCTTCACACTCAAAAAAGTCTATAAGCCATGATTTACTAAGGAAAAAATTCAGTTTCGGTTTTATTTACATATAGGTAGATATGTATATTCATTGTGGCTGACGAGTTATGACTGTCTTCTTCTTTTCAGCTGTAGAGAGTTGTAGAGAATTCATCAAGCTCTTACGTTTTTGAGTCATCGAATCACAAGTATCGTCGGCTCCCAGATTCTTGGAAGCGGTTTGCGGACTTTGCCTGATTATAAGGATAGACTTGTTAAACGTCCACAATACAGCATCCTGATAATCAGGGAAAGTCCGCAACCCGCCTCGACACGAACCTTGGAGCCGATCGTACATCACGTGATACGTTTCCAGTCATTCCCTTGATTCAACTGGATTGGCGGTTGGAAAGCGAGGTTTCGTGACCTAATTGAGGATAAGGAATGATCAAAGAGAGCACTTCCGCGAGAGAGACACAGACTGCGTCGCGGGCGCGAGCGGTGGCCTTCCAGCCGCCAAATTGGTTGAATCAAAGGGTACAACAACTCTCAGTGGTGCTTCGTTTTGATAGTTTTGTCTGGCGTTCAGAATTTGCAATCATTGCCGCTTGTGGGAAGATTAAGCCTTGAAGTTCTCAGTCTCCTTCCAAGCTAATGATGAGCAGTGTTCGGGTCACAAGATCGTTCTTCACAACTTCGGCCATATGGATATGCAGAACAAACTCCTCCAGCTTTTGTCTCTTTCAGGAAGCTTGAATTTTATATATCAAAACTTACACAAGACCGAACCAAAGTTTATTTTCGAGCAGCCGTTTTGTTGGAACTTGAAAGAAGTGAAAAAGTAAAATTCACCAAATCTCGCAACCCAATACCATGTGCTCGATCGCAGCCCCGGTCAACGTAGGTCAACGTTTGACACGCCGCTATCAAAGGGGGCCAGGTCGACAGATCAGTTCATCATTGTGCCGGGCACTGAGCCCGTTTGTTATCCTTCAGATCTTTCCACCATATCTCAGGTTCCTTTGTTCTTATCCTAGATTTTTTTTCATATCTCTATGGGAACGGCCATAGGTTGTCGATGTTGTCGATGTTGTCGGGGATTGTCGGGGTCAGAGACAGTTTAGAGAGCGCGCGAAACGTGGAGGCTATCATGAGGTCCTACAACGACCGGCAACCTCGGCAACCCCGATAACACCGACAACACCGACAACCTATGGCCGTTCCCTATGTCAGGACTTTGTCATGCTTAGGAGTATTCATGATCCTTTAGTCATGTTGTCATTTCAAGGTCCTGTTTTGTATTTTATATTATCCGTTGCTTGTTGTTCCGTTGTTGTTTGATAAAGAATAAAGTTTAACACGTTGACGACCGTGTGCATCCGCGCGTATGCACGCCCTGACCACCTTTTAGCACTTTCGTGCATCAATTTATCATGTGTAAACGAAAAGTTCTCAGGTAACTTCTATGCAGTGATAACACTGGTGAACTAGTTGTCATATGGAAACACACGGCATTGCGGTAACTGTTAAACAGTCTAAACCGCAGCCGTAGATCATCAGTCCATTTTAATGTGGTCAAAAATGGCTCGGTCGTCAACGTGTTAATTACCCAAGTTCGAGATTACAAGCTAACGGTTCGAGGCTCCCATTATCTTCTTTGTGTTGGGACAACAAGTCATGAATCACCGAAATTACAGTGAAGCCGAGGTTTAGGTGTATAGGCAGAGAGTTATTCCAACGCAAACTGGTGCATCGGCTTAACTAGGTATCGTGCTTAGCCGTTACAGCCGCATGAGAAGCAAGTGAGTTTATTTCAATTGAAATCAACTTGAATTCTTCCTTTTTTTACTTCAAGTAAACTTTGAAAAAAGGGTTGAAGGAGAAAAAGTGGAGAGCACAGAGAACACAATCAATAAAAAGAAAAGAAAGCAAAAACAGCTATAATAGGCTTCACACATTCATATGAAAACGGCACAAAAGAAAACCACTGAAAAGCCGCCTTATCAAGACAAGAAAACTGTTGAGGAATTAATGCGGGAATTAAATGGCCTAGCCGCGTACACCGTTTCGAACTTTGAAAATCCTGAGGAAACCAGGGACATCATGAAAGGAAGGAAGACACTAGTTAGTCAAAGGATCATTAACATAGAAGAGGCGGTGCCGCGCTGAAGACGACGATCACTGCATGGAAGGATAGTTTCGAAAAGCTGTCCGAGGAAGAGCGGTTAAGAGAAAAGTCAAGTCTAGAGAGAGGAATACCTCAAAGGAGCATGGAATACAACCTCGAATGGCGAGGACATGCTAGGAGGACTGAGGGAGAAACAGGTACAACTCGAGTTGCACCTGAAGTGCCATGAGGAGCTGCTCGAAAGAAGACAAAGGATGAAACTACCACAAGCCGGCCAAGCATCACCAGCCACATCCATGGGCTCAATGCATATGCAGTCCCTCCTTCCACGTCTGAAACTTCCAAAGTTCTCGGGAAGACGCAACAGTGGGATGCATTCTTGGCAATGTCTTAATAAACGTAGATGAACAGCCTATTTCGTCTATGATGAAGTTCAACTATTTAATGCAAACCTTCACAGGAGAAGCGAGGCAAGTGGCAAATAGAATTTAGCTGAAGGAAGCTTGCAACATGGGGGCGGGCTTGCACATTTTGTATTTCGTGCATGGACACATGCATACATACATGGGACCAGGCGTAGGGATGCACGGAAACGTCTCGTCCACAGGGACAGACCTCCAAAAAATGGTTCGTCAACGTGTTAAGGAGCAGCTCGAACAGGGAATTATTAGGTTGGCTAATAAATAAGTTTGGTCGCTTTTTCAGCTCTTACAAATGCTGTAAACAAATTTTTGTCCAATATTTGGTATCTCTGAGAAGAGAACTTCACTGGGTATTGGAGCATATATTCTGTTTGAGTGAAACTTATTTTCCAAGGAAAAAAATCCGCCAAGAAGTGAGAAAGCGCAATTTTCTCATATTGCGCAAATATGAGGAAATTTGGTTTTCTTAGTGAAACATTTTTCAAAGTGGCGGATCACAATTCTTTTTGTTGTTCAATAAATAGGAAAAACTCCTCTGTATCCAAACACTAAACTGCTGTTGTTTACATACATTACAGCATGAAAACGAAGCTTAGGAAGCCAATGAATTGAGCTTTTGGAAATTTCGCCATGTTGAGGCATAACTGTCTTTACTGACGATAGAAAATCCTGATTTTTTGATATGTGATAGAGGAGCTTCGTACTACTTTCCCACAAAGAATCATAGATTGAAAACAACAAGAAAATTTTTTATGATGATTTGCATGCCAAAACGAGCTTATTTTTTAGCCAACCTAATATAAAAGTGGCACCAGAAGAGACTGCATGCGCCAGCAATAGAGTGCATTACCTGTATTATCAAGTAGTATCGAATCCAGAAAAGAAAACAACCCCGAGGAGAGTCGCCTTGGATGCATCTGCGCATCCTAGAGGGAAGCCTGTTTCGATTCTGTCGTCACCAAACGATCTTCTCCACCAAGGGCTGGTCATTCTACCCAACCCAATACGAATATTGATGCGCTTTCGCATGGGACAGATCGTTAACGACAGAATCGAAAAGGCCTTCCTACAAGTAGCTGCATGAGAAAGACAGGGATGTGACGAGAATCCTTTGGGTCAAACACATTGGGGAGCCGCTAAATGATCACAACATAACTGCATATCGATTTACAAGAGTCAAATTTGGCCTTAATGCATCCCCCTGGGAGACGGCCAACCGTTCTAAACCGTTAGCACTAGCAGCCTAATTACTGCGCGCCTCTGATTGGTCGGCGCTGCCGCGGCGCTTGGGGGTAGGCAAGAGCTATGCTGTCGTTAGAGACGTCTGAACTGGACTGCAAAGGCATTCTCAAGATAAAAAGTAAACAAAATCGAGTTTCTTATGAAACTCAAGAATGTTATACGTGGGCGGCTTAAGTAAATTCTTGAGCTTAAACTGCAGACTTCTTGGTGTTTCGAACACTGGGAAGGGCGAAGAAATCGCGAAACAGCTTAAAAAACTTGCAATCTTTCCAACTTTTTGTCTTCATAATTCAAACATCGTCACTATCATTATTCGTGAGCCTTTCTTGCTTTGGAATGCTCGGTGAAAACTCTGACAGATTAAAAAAAAGACGAAGCAGTTAGCGCCGCCTGGGCATAGTAATTAGCGCTAGGACGAAGCGGTTCGCAGGAGCATACACCTCATCCCCCTTCCTGTTAGCGGCAACCGTCGAGTTTCATCTTCACTCCATCCCCAATGATTGTGAGTATGGGCGACAATCACCGAGAACATATATGTCGGCAACCTACTCGTAACAGCAGAAACAGCAGAAGAGGCATTGCAGCAGTACAAACAAATCAAAACCATCTGCGGCGTCACTATGAACATGAGAGGGTTCATCTTGAACGATGCCAAATTCATACAATCCATAGTTCAGGCAGATAAAGCAGAGGATACGCGAGCCCCAAAGGTGCAAGGCATACAATGAGAGACAGCAGGAGACAAACTCGTCATAAGATGTAACACTCCTTACAATTAGACATGAGTGATTACAAAACGCACCGTCTTAAAGATGCAAAGTTCATATACGACCCCTTCCTCCCACTACTCATGAGGACCAATTTCTTCCAGTCACTGTGGAGCAAGTCTTACAAGGAAAGGATACTCGGTGACCACGACCATTTAGAATGCGATATATACCCTAAGGTGCACCTCGAAACGCTGATTCTAAATCTGTGCTCGAAATCTGCGAAACGATCATATAAAGGCAGTTATGATTTTTTTTTTGCAGAAAATTTGCGTACTTTTAGTTAGTTAAAATCACCCAACTTGATCTATTTTACCATTTGAAGCTAATGAGGAGAATCTTGAAAGGTTAACGTTGTATTTATACCTATCTAAATCATATTTAGCGTTTGAAGAGCAACGAAAAGTTTTTATAAATGATTTTCATCCTCTGCAGTAGCGCAATTTATTTGTGCAAAAATAAATATAACTTCATCCAGGTTCTCGTTTCACAGATATGGAAAACATTTTCGAACCGCCATTAAAAGGCGCATTTATTGATATACAAATTATTATGAATGGCCGGTGTCACCAAGTATCGTCCCCTGTTTAGATATGAGATGAGATCCTCAGTGAAGAAGATATAGAACTAGCTGGCAAACCCGGCTCCGCCCGGCCCTGTCAATAATATATTCGTAATCCATGTTCACTTACCCCCCCCCCCCCTGTGCCAACTCCCAGCCCCGTAGCTCGGACTTTTTGAAAAATTGATAAAGTCGATAGCGATCGATGACGAAAAGTAGCCCATGACACCCGCCCGTCCTCGAAGTGTATGTGTGCAAAGTTTGGTCCGGATCGGTTCAGAAATGGAATTTTTTATTCGGAACATACGTACAGACAGACATAAGACATTCAGCTTTATACACAAGCTTGTGGAAAAAGCTTCAAGGGTCAATGCAAGGCTTTCACAATGAGGTTTCTAGGAAGGTAACAAACAAGAGGCACAGTGTTGCCTGATAGCATTCAGTGATGGAAGTCAATGGCAGCTTGCATATACATAAGGGATGACAGTGATCGACACCTTGTCATAGCAAAGTCAAAGTTGCCATTGCTTAAATCAATGCACACTATTTCCAAAATGGAAATGAGATGACGATTGCAGCATGGCTACTTTTGAAAGTATAGAGAGAGCTAAAAGGAAAGGTGACAATCAAATTAGTCCATCTACTTTCTGACTCGCAGGTGGTTCTTAGCTGGTTGAAAATTGCAGACGACTCGAAAACTGACGGCGTTTTGTAAGCAACAGAGTTAGGTGAGTCAGGATAATAGCAGACAAACTCAGTGCCGATAAAATTGAGGAGTACTTCGGCTATATAATCACAAAAGCCAATCCAGTAGCTTGTACTACCCGGAGGCCAAATGGCGAAGAACTGAAGTCCCATATGTGGTGGAAAGGTCCACACTTTTTACAAGATCACCATGAGACTTGGCCAAAAGAAAGTTGCGTTTTCCAGCTTGATCATCAGCAAAAGGTCCTCGTATCTTTCACATATCAAACCTCAGTCACAAAACTCATTGGCTGCGAAAGATTTAGTTCAATGTCACATTTGGAGCACTCCATGGCCATAGTACTGAAATTTCTGCAGCGTGCTCCAGAAATCTCCCTCCAAAAACACAAGAAAGGTTATCGTCTCTCGGAGATAGCGCGGACAGCGATCATGCCGGCAGATCAAATTTGCTGAAATGAAGGTCTTGAAAGACCATCAGAACCAATTTTTACAAACTTTTACAGCAGCACTACAGAGAGTTGAATGTGACACAAGGCAATAATTAGGTCGATGTTACGGTCTCCTAGGCAAAAGTTATTGGTTAGAGACACTAAAATCTAGTATTGGTCGCACCCAGCACTCATTTGGCGAAGCGTTTGATCAGAGAGGCACATGGACATTATCACCGTTCCATGCACTCTGTGTGAAGTTCGCAAAAACTTTTGGATACCACGGCTTAGACAGCAAGTGAAGCAGTATGTAAGACAGTGTCCATGTCAGAAGTACAATAGTTTTCTTTATCGCTATTGACCTCTGGCAAACTTGCGAGGCGACACAGTGATCAAGTCTCGCACATTCGCAAACGTAGGACTGGATCTATTTGGATCCCTGGAAACAAAAACCAATCAAGCAGTTCATAAGAAAACCTACGGTTGCATTTTCATATGTGCAATAACAAGATTGGTTCACCTAGAGCTAGTCACAGACTCTTGACCACAACATTCTTCCTCAGCGCAATGGACGGTTCATGTCAAGGAGAGGTATTCCCAACACTATTACCTCCGACAATGTCGCAGCAATCATATTAGCAGATCAGATCCCTCTAACAGTTGGCACAGTCATGACAAACAAGGGTATAACCTGGAGGAAGATAACCCCCTTGGCAAGGAGGTCTTTATGAAAAGCTAATCAAAGACATAAAGCGAGCATTATTCAAAGCACTCAGAAGGAACATTGTCGACGAAGACTCCTGTTTTTTAACACTGACAGAGATTGAAGCCTGTCTGAATAATCGCCCCTTGCATATGAGGACACCGATATAGAGGACTTCCACCTTTGCGACCCATCGATTTCCTCCGATTGACATGTGCATCTCATACTGCACGCATACAGGTGATCGAACCGACCCTGACTTTCACGCTTCCAGAGAAGACACTCAGTTGCATAAACGCCTAGAAGCAGAGCAGGCATTGTAAGCCTCCGCGGAGATAGTGGATAAACTTTGGCAAGAGTGGCAAAAAGCATATCTCACTTCCCTCAGGGAGCAACACATACATCAGCTTACTCAGGGTAAGAGCACAACATCGACACCAAAGCAGAAATTGTTCTCATACGAGAACATGCACAACCGCCCAACAAATGGAACTTAGCAAGAATTTTATCATAGCGGTCAGGGGATGGTGAAATTCGTCAAATTCATATAAGAATGCAGAATGGTAAAGTTACTAAACGACCCATTTCTATTCTTGTCCCCCTGGAGATCGACTCTAACATCCATCATAATCGAGAACAGGAGTTAGAACACACCGACCTACCTGACAGTGCATCAGTAACAGAAAAGCTATAGCCAGATAAGCCGGTATAACTTTAGATGTAGGATACTTACTTACTTAGATACTTAGATACTTAGATGGCCCGTCCTCACGTGACGTGCGGGCCCCAGTACAGAAGTCGCCATTGATCCCTGTCCCTCGCTTCGGACATCCACGATCTTCTTGGTCGTCGTCGGTGGCTGCGTCCACGAGTTTCAGGGGCAAGAATCGTATCCAGCTGATTTCTCAGCTGGTCCATCCGTTCCACGAACACGTCTGCCCATCTCGTCGGTGGTCTTCCTCGAGGACGTTTGGCTTCGCGAGGAATCCACTCAGATGTTCTTAGTGTCCATCTATCGTCCGTTCTTCTCATTATGTGACCGGCCCATCGGTGTTTCGCTTTCGCAACGTATTCCGCTGGGTCACGAAGACGGGACATTCTTCTCATATCCGTGCTGCGAAGTCCGACTAGATGTTGCTTGTGTCGGGTCATCTTCAGAAGACTGCGCTCGAGCGCTCTGTGGGTGGTCCTTAAAGCTTTCGACGTGGCTACGGTGTCGGCCCAAGTCTCAGCTGCGTAGCAGAGCGCTGGGAGAACGGTTGAGTCGAACAGGTGGGCACGAAGCTCCGGGTCCGTCAGTTGGTCAGTGGCTTCCTTCAGAGGCCCGAAGGCGGCCCAGGCTGCTCTTCTTCTCCTGTTAAGTTCTTCCCTCAAGTCGTTCTCCATGTTCATCGAACGTCCGAGATACACGTAAGAAGACGTCTCCATGATAGGGGTGCCTTCCAATTCCATTTCTGCATCTTCGCAAAGGGCGTTCTTCATGAACTGAGTCTTCTTCCGATTTATTCGCAGTCCGATCTTCTTCCCTACTTCGTTTAGTTCCTTCAGCATCGCCTCTGCTTCAGTGATACTGCTCGAGAAAAGGACGATGTCATCCGCAAAACGAAGGTTGGATAGGAATCTCCCATCAACTCGTATGCCTCTCTCTTCCCAGTCTAGTGACTTCATCACCCACTGCAAGGCCGCGGTGAACAGCTTCGGCGAAATAGTGTCGCCTTGTCGAACTCCCTTCCCAATTGGAATGGTTAGGGGGCGATGGAATAGCTGCATCGTTGTTGTACAGTCCTTGTAGCAGTCGGCTAGTGTCCTCACGTAAGCTGGTTCCACTCCTTGATCGACTAGCGCAGACAGGATGGCGTTGGTTTCGACGCTGTCAAAGGCTTTCTCGTAGTCGACGAAGGTTAGGACGAGAGGCAGTCGGTACTCCCGGCAGACTTCTATGACCCTCGAAACCGTCTGGATGTGGTCCATGCAGCTGAATCCTTTGCGAAATCCAGCTTGTTCTTGGGGTTGGGCTTCATCCAGTGTCCTAGATATGCGTGCGAGGATAATCTTCGTGAAGAGCTTGTACAGCACACTCAGCAGGCATATTGGACGGTAATTTCGAAGATCTTCCCGTTCACCCTTCTTAAAAAGAAGGACGGTTCTTGACGTTCTCCACTGGTCGGGAATCCTCTCCTTCTGAAGGTAAGATGTCAGGTGCGACGCGAGAATCTCGTGTAGACGTTGTCCTCCGGCTCGCAGAAATTCGACGGAAAGATGGTCTGGTCCTGGAGCCGTGGATGTCTTCATGGTCTGAATCGCCGTGCGCACTTCAGCAGGTAGAATTCGTGGTGGTACTTCTCCAGTGGGAACAACGGGCATCGGCACGGGTGTTGATGAGCGGAAGAGATTGGTATAGAAGTTCTTCGCGATAGATTCCATCTTGTATCGGGAAGAAGTCGGAGTCCCGTCTTCGCTCAATAGTGCAGCCAGCGGTACGTGATATTCACAGAGGTCCCTTCGGCATTTCTTGAGACTTCGTCTTTCTTCGGCTGCTTCCAGTATCTTGGCTTGCCTGTACTTCCTGAGATCCTCCTGCAAAGCTGTTCTGCAACTGGCGTTGGCTATCAGTCGCTCGAGATGGGTTGCATTCGGATCCTGCCTCAGAGATCTTCTTCTTTCGAGCAATTCCTTGGTGGTCTTCGAAATACGTTCCAAGTTCTTCTCAGAAGTCACTGAGGCACATTCTCCGCAGGCTCGCAATCCTTTCAGAAGCCGGTCGTAGTCGTACGTTGGGTCCTCCTCGATGGGCCAGTCACATCTTGATATGAGCTCCTCCAGCCTGTTACCGTCGTAAACAACTTCCTTCCTTCTCGCGGCACTGTGACAGACTTTCTTTTCCAGCCTTCGGCTGAGTCGTATCTTCGCTCGAAGGAGGCGGTGATCGGAGCCACTGCAGAAGGATGGAACTACTGAGACATCGAGCAAGCTCCACCTTCGGTTGGCGAGAATGTGGTCGATCTCCGCGTGAGTCGTTCCGTTGGGCGATTCCCATGTCCACCGGCGATGTTCTTTCTTCATGAAGATGGAATTTCCATGGAAAAGTCGTGCGGCGGAGAGAAGCCCAACAAGACGGTTGCCGTTTTCGTTCCGGAGCCCATATCCAAACTTCCCGATCCTATATTCCTTTTCTAATGGCATCCCGATTTTCGCATTGAAGTCGCCCACAACATACTTGTAGAAGGACTTTTCGTTGCGGACGACCTCCTCCACGTCTTCGTAGAAAGCATCTAGTTCTGAGTCATCAGCTGCTGATGTTGGAGAGTAGCAGTTGATAATGCTGATGGTCTTCTGACGTGGAGGGCGTAGTCGTAGGATGGCTAGTCGGGGTGATAGGATCTCGTGCGAATCGACAAGATGGACGATAGATGGGTGGACGACAAAGCCAACACCTCCCACGTTTCGTGATGGAACCTTCTCACCACGAATGATGAGTGTTCCATCATTCATCTGTCGCACGTCCTTCTTCCTGGACTTCGTTTCCTGCAGAGCGATGATGTGGTACTTGATGTGCTCTGCAGCGTCGAGAAGAGCGTGGAGGTCGGCGTTCGTGGAGACTGTCCTGGCGTTGTAGGTGCAGAGCATGAGGCAGTCTCCGTGGCGTGTCGTCCGGGCAGACGTGTCGTTTTTGTCCAATCCAAAAGGCGCCCTGAGGACCCTGACATCAGTCTTGCTACCACCCGGCGCCGTAGGCGGGATCCGATGTACAGGGTTTCTTTCTATTCTTCTAACTGGTAGAGTAATGAAATTTTTCCCCTACAAGAGCAGACTTACTAGGCCAACTCTTGATTTCCACGGGGCGATCGCTGACCCCGGGCTTGGAGCGGGGGGGGGGGAACCGCCTAGCGACCTGAAAACCAGACGGCGGCGGATCTGGCCTGGCCGTCTAGATGTAGGATACGGAACAAAAACTACCCTTTAACGAAGATTACGAAGTCTATTTCATGCAAAATGAATCTTCTTCATTTCAGAATGAGCGTCGAACAAACCAGATTCATGAACAAAACCTACACGCTCTGCCAGAAGATATACACCAGATTAGTGGAGTTGGAAAAGAATGTGGAAAAACACGCCGAACTCCTACTTGAAGCGCAAATCAACTGTCTTTCAACCACAAAAACAGAAGTCGAAGCCGAAAGAAGAGGAAGCGAAAGGGGACACGCTGGACATCTCAAACGAGGAAAACACTCTTATTCTTTTGAACAACTTCGATGTCTGAAGCGCCGCCGGAGTGTGCTGGATCCCAGCACCCGGTGAACGTAGGTCAACGTTCGACCCGCCACTATAAAAGGGGCCAGAATTGTCGATGGATGAGTTTTATCATTATGCCGGGCACTGAGCCCGTTTGTTGTCCTCTAGATCTTTTTCACCACATCTCAGGTACCTTCGTTCTCCTAGGTTCTATTTTTTCATATCTTCATGTCAGAATCTTTGTCATGCTTAGGAATATTCATGATCCTTTAGTCATGGTCGTTCCAAGGTCCTGTTTTGTATTTCAAGTTAATTCCGTTGCTTATTGTTCCATTGTTGTTTGGTAAAGAAGTTTAATTACCCAAGTTCGAAGTTACAAGCTGACGGTTTGAGGCTCCCATTATCTCTCTTTGTGTTGGAACAACAAGTCATGAACCATCAAAACTACAGTAAAGCCGAGATTCAGGTAGGTAGGCAGAGAGTTATTCCAACACAACCAGGCTCTTTCATAAACTTCACCCCTGTTCACGTTTTCCGCAACAGTAGCTTAATAAAACTGTGTTGCATGACTTCAAAAAGGCGTAGCGAGAAGTTTTGTTGAAACTTGCCAACTATGTAAACTAGGGTCATCAGTTGGCTGAGTCTCATATGTGCAAGGGTTATTGAGTGGACGATGTATCCGACGTGTGAAGTGTTGTGCGATTGCATGACATGGCGTCAGAGGTTTGCAAGCGGACGATCGATGAGCGAATCACTCGCCGCTTTGCCTTCTTCCTTCCACTTGGGCCAATCAAGCCCTCTACCTACCGGGGTCGGCAAATTGGTACTAAAGTAATCTGGGAGGATAAAAGCACTGACTTGTTAAACGACTGGCCCCCGCAAGTCACTGCAATAGGCTAGCACGCATACAACTGATTCGACTATGAAGGTGTCGTTCGGCGCATGCACGCAGAGGGTGTTGAAGACGCCGAATCCTTTATCCTTTATCCTGTACGATGCTCCATTCTAGAAAAACACTCGAGGACGCACAGACTTATTTTGCAACACTTTGGTTCGATAGTCCATATATCAATTATATAAATCTTTATTAGATACTCTTCGGTACATAGAGAACAAAGTCATACATGGCGCAGTGAAGGAAGGAAGTAATGTAGTGAGATCATTTGGAAAATAAAACTTTATAACGAATGCTGAGTTGCCCTCATATTGAACGATGAAAGCATGATTGGCACGTGATTATTTCTTCTGAAATGAATCATTCAACAATTTTTGGTATCGTATGACTATGAGATTCATTCACCTTGGCGGACGAGTCACTCTTTTTCACCGCTGTGCTCGTCTTCCGGACATTTGGAGCAGATGACTTGCTGACGTCGCTTGTCTTCTTCGCGAGTGGCTTAGAAGGAGCCGTTGCCGAAGACTTCTTTGACGCTGGCTTCGTGGCCGCTGGTGTTGACGATGACGTTTGCGACATCTGTAGAGCGTAGAGCCCTCATTAGCTGTGGAAACATGAGTTCTATCAAACCTGGCGAGGCATCGTTTTCTTCGATCCGACGGCTTGGGCATCCGAGAAAGCGACACCCTTCCGCATCGGCTCAGTCGGTTGCGAAGGAGCAAGGGTGGTGAGCGGCGAGGACTAAATGGACTAGTAAATGAGAAATTCATTGAAAAGAGATCTAAATAAATGTTGGATATTTGATGAATACTTTTTCTTATTGCTAAGTGCCGAGTTATTATATGTACATTATTATAAGAAAACCTACAAATCGATTGAAATTTCTAAAAATCATCTCTTCTTGCAGAGAAGTCTGATTGACACCTGGTTTTCTTAATCAGGATAATTTATAGTACTAGGAGCAAAATTTTTGTCGGACTTTTTAGCATTTTTAGCGATCGAAATGGAAAAATACTGTTCGAGAGTTCCTTCAAAAGTTATTATCATCAAAATCTGCAACAATAATTTTCGCATTGAACATCAAAGCTAATGTTTTACTTTCACAAATGATTTTGAACCACAGAAATTCATTGAAAATTGAAAAGCTCATTTACTTTCGAAAAAATTTTGTGCATGACTTTAGGGACAACCAACCTAGTGTGAACATACGCACGATCATGACACGCAAAGACTGGACGAGGTTGCGTCCAGCCGAGATAGTTCGTTTATGGGAGAGGCAGCAGATGGTAAGAGAAACGAAAGAGCGCTTAGTCAGAAAGGCGCAGATATGTCCGCAGTCTTTGCGTGCAATGAATCGCCTATATTGTGCATTGAGTTTTGCTAACAGAACTTTTATTTTGCATGAAATGTATTTGGAAAGGATTTTTATGATAAAAAATCTTGCAATCTTGACTACACAAGGTAAAAATCTCTTTTGAATTTCTTCCAGCTTTCCGGAGAATTTACCTGCAAGAAATTAGATGGTACTAGACCACGAAGACCGTTGAGTTCTCCCATGTAGAAGCCGTCATCATCCATCTCACCATAAACCGTGATGATATCTCCTTGTCGGAAGGACAATTCAACCTTAACAAATAGCAATCATGCAACTATTTGCTATTCTCACAAATTTTCCTTTATTCCTGTCCCCCACCTGCTCAGCATCGACATTCGGACTAAGCTGTCGAGAATCGTAGTCGAATTTGGCCACCATTTTCCTCGTCGGCACGCCATTAATACTAAAATGGAACGGGATGAGTGATTGATGAGTGCAGCCAAGCTTCTGCAGAAGAGATAAATTGCAAAAAACTATTGTCAGACGCCATGTAAGAAGCATTGAGGATGCATGTCGCATTCGGCAACTTTGAAATATTATAACACAAAAAATCTCAGTGCAAGCTAGAGAAATGTATGTTGGAGGAGCTTACCCCGTATCAGGCATCACACCGGGTTGCATTCCTGCGTACTGGGCAGGAACAGCTTGCGGCATTTGCGAAGTCGTCGGTTGCATCGCCGACGGGACCATTTGCATTTGACTCATTTGATGTGTCAATTGTCCCATGGATGGTCCTTGCGCCATCGGTTGTCCTTGCACCATTGGCTGCTGCGGCTGCATCTGACCCATCTGGCCAGGAGCCATTCCGGATGGTCCTGCCACATTAGGATCATATCGTCCAGCATAAGGGTCATAATGACGATCTTCCCGGTAGCCTTCTTCCCGACGATCTCGTCGATAGCCTTCTCTTTCGTCTCGCGGGTATTCATGACGTCGTTCATACTCCCTTCGCTCATCGCGCCTTTCCACTTCTCGCCGTTCATCTCGTTCGCGACGATCCTCTCGTCGCTCATCTCGACGGTCATAGTCCCGTTCCCGTTCTCGTTCGTATCCCCGGTCACGGTACTTCTCCCCTCGGTAGTCTTCCTCTTCTCGGTAATCACGATGATAGTCGTCTCGCATAACTCGCGGGTCTCGCATATCGCGCATATCCCTAGGTTCTCGCATATCCCTCGGCTCACGCAGATCTCGCATATCTCTCGGTTCTCGCATGTCCCTTGGCTCACGCATGTCCCTTGGCTCACGCATTTCACGGGGATCCCGGATGTCTCTTAAGTCCCGATACCGGTCATCATAATCTCTTCTGTACTCATAATCTCGTCCATTGTTCCTTCGGTATCGGTCTACTCTAGTGGCGGATGCTTCCCGTCGTTCCATTTCCCTTCGTTCCAGCTCCCTTCGGTCAAGGGAAGCAAAATGGGAAGAGACAGGTGGCCGATCGTGGATTCTTCTGTCTCCGGCGTGGTCGTAGCTCCGCGACTTCAACGAGCCCCATCGCATTCTTCGTAATGCTGGTTCGGCTGGCACTGCTTCTGACCGTGTTCTCCTCGGCAACAAGTCATCCTTGGCAATTTCGATAACCATATTGGATGGGACTAGTCCTACTCGGTTGCCTATTTGACCATGGTAGAAGCCATCAGGATCGACCTCTCCGTACACCTGAAAATTATCCTTTTATCTGCATGAGTGGGTGAGGAATGGTAATTCTTGTGAATTTTTGCGAAGAATTTTACACGTGTTCTGCTCGAAATGTCAATCAAGCATCCCACCCGTTTGCAGTGAGGTTTCTGCGAAAGAAAATTTCGTTCCTCAAGATTTCGTTAGGAGATGGGGCTACAGAAGAAATTATTTTTCATCAAGAATCTCATTCGATTGTCAATGTAAGGCAACTCGTTTAACTTAGGACAAAGCATAATGATAAATTTCTGGTCTCTGAACAGCAAAATATGCACTCTGAAAGAACTAAACATTTTTTCAGTTGAGAAGCATAAGTAGCTTTTTTCCTTTTCTACTCAAGGTTCTTGCACTTTGATTTCAAGATATCCAGTTCATTTTACATAAGTGTTCCAGGTTTGGAACAAACTACCTAAAAAACTTGCTCAAATTTGAAGAGTTGAAAAAAATTTTTTGAAAAGAGTATGTGATTTGAAGGAGAGATAGCGTAGGGAAAAACTGATTATATGCAAGAAGAAATTTACCTTGATTAATTGATGTTTTCTAAATGATAGCTCATCCGCTTCAGCATTCGCATTCGGTGACATATGGTGTGAATAGTCAAATAATGCAACGAACCTAAATTAATGAATCCTGTAAATTTCACTGGCAGAAAAGAAAAATGCTTTATCTTACCATCGACAATCATCTTCCAATGTGGGAGGACGAAGATCAGGCTCACTTCTCGTACCAAAACCACTTTCACTTTTTACCCTGGCTAATCGTGGTGGAACCAATCTGAATCGTGCAGAATGCGGGTGTTGTGTGGTGCGGGCATTGCGAATAATAGGTGTCGGAAATGAAATATTTACCTGTGCCTAGCCGGGGGCCGATCGTCTGCACTTCCTGAGCGGGTGGTTTGTCTGGCGTAAGCTTCCATCCTCATTCGTGGATCCATAGGACCTGCCCATTCGGATTGACCTGGCCATTCTGCTTGGCGATGTCGCAGGAGATAGCTGGAATGGATAGATGATTCAGAACTGTCCATTGGGAATGTTTGGAAGGCAAATGATACAAAGAACATGCCTGTTTTCCATATCAGGAACAGATGGTCGCGGTTCGTCTGCGGATGTTCCGTCGCCGCGTATCAGACGAGGATGGAAGGTGTAGTATTGCTTCATTTGTGGCGACTTCCACTAGAATGTCAACAGTTGCTGCATGACTATTTTTAGGGGATCCAACCCCCCCCCCCCCCTCCCTCCTCCCTCCCCAAAGGTGCAAAATTCATGGCAAAAGTGACGCAAACCCCATGAGATTTTACAGACTGACATCATCTCATGAAAAGAATTCAGCGTTTGATATGCGCATAACTTAAAGTTGGGGAATTTAGAAGCGGAATATTGAAGCGGCTCACCTTCGGAAGTGTCCCTTGAGATGCGGGCAGCGCTCCGGCGATGGAGGTGGGGCCGAGTGCCGTGGATATGGGTAGCGTGCCAGCGGCAGATGCGTTCATGCCGCCTGGCAACGTACCGGCACCTAATGCGGCCATCGGCAGCGTGGTGGTGGGCATCTGACCGGGCCCTGACATCGGGCCAACCATGGCCGACTGACTGGCCAAAGCTGCTGCCGCGGCGGCTGCCGTGGATAACCGCTCATTACCGACTAAACTATTGTATCCCTGAATGGCTGAGGCAGTGTACGAAGAAAGTGGATTAGCTTGAAAGGGCATGGAAGTGAGCATTGCTGGGGCAGTATAGGATGCAGTCTGTGGCCCGGATAACGGTGCTGCATAGTGACCGGACGGGTAGGACTGCGCCATTTCTAGTAGGGGAGCTGTTTGGAGTAAACCGTCGGAAACGACTCCGGCTCCGAAGGGTGGACCACGAGGTACGCGAGCCACGTTCGAATCGCAAGAAACGGCTCCTTCTCGCGTTCGCGTACGAACGGTGATGAAAATCGGTGGGTCGTCCGAAAGATCCGCTAGCCGCAGAAGTACGTGGTCAGCTGCAAAATGCATTGAATCACAAATATTGCTCATAGCCTAAAAAGATGTGTACCTGTTGCCGAGGGGACCTGCGCGATGTTCTTGCCGTCGGCGTAAATCAAATACGAATGAACCGCGGCACGAGACGGTGGCTTTGGTTGATTCGTAATTGGTGTCCACGAAACGAGAAGCGTACCGGCTTGCGGTCCGTTCTCGGCTTGCACGTTCGTCGGTGGATCAGGCAAACCAACTGAAATAAAGATTTATACGTTATAGCCGTTCATCTTCATTCGGACACTGTCCTCACTAGTGCGAAGGCATTTTAGAGCGAGTTGATCACAAATGGAGCAAGTCTGAGGGCAATAGAATTAGCGGACACGATAGCAGGGGAATGCAACTTTCTGCATGGAAAAAGGCAAAAACAAGGTGAAATGAGATTTGTAACGTCACCACATGAGACTGCATCTTGTGAAATATTGCGGAACCCGATTTTACTGTTGAAATTTCACGAACTCTACTAGGTTTTAGGTTTTTCATCGGAATTTTCGGAAATTCGCGAGTTCATTTTCTAACGAATTCTTTGATTTCAAGATGTTTCAGTGGGAGAGAACCTTGCTCATTTTAATTCTGTCTATATCGAACCTAATTGTTAAATATACGAGTGTAAGGTCCGATAAAGAAAACTCAGAAGTATTTTTTTCAAATTGGTTCAACAATAATGCTAAACAATAAATCCGAATTAATTTTGAATCTATTTGACCTAAAATTTCTAATTAAAGGAAAATAGTGGTTGGATCTTTCTTTAATCACCTATGGTTTTTGAGTAAATTATTTACCTCCTTGGCCTTGTTTAGTTTTTTACTTGCTTTTACAAAACGATTAGTTTTTTTCCACATTTTCAAAGCAACTTTTCTGAAGTATCGACCCAGTTCCATAATTTAGTAATTCGGTCAAAATGACCTAATTTGCTCAGATTATGGGCCTAGAAACAAGTTCTAAATAGCATAGAAAATTAGAAAATATATGGTTGTTTCATGACGAAAAAATTCCATCAGAAAATGTCATTATTCGCTCAGAAAATAGTTCATTGTCATTTATTGTCAAATAGAGCCCCGTCCACACATCTTATTTCCTTAGCCTCTAAACCTTTATTAATATCGATTATGACAAAAACGAAGAAAAAATTTCTGCTGCGCATTGTATGCACCAGCAGACATTGCTGAATTACATGGATGAATAGCTTTTCCTAGCAACGAAGACATACGACTTAGGCAAGGATAATGCAAATCTAGATAAGCCCAGGGATCGCTAGGATGCCAGCGCTTGACGTGTGAATAGCTAGAAAGAAAGCATACCACTTAAGAAATGTGGTGGAAATACTTTGAGTCCTCATATCCTCATAAAGATTTTCTAGATTTTTCCCGTTGCAAGTGCTTTTCATATAGTTTTATGATTGAATTATCTAATTCCAGTAATTTAGATGCTATAGGGGATAAATTGCATTCATAGAATGAGCCTAAAAAAATATTTGCAAATGAAATATAATGTTTTATGTCAAATCAAACATACAAATATCCAATTAATAACCCCATATTGCATTTGATTTGAAAAATCATGGGATGGGGTTTACTGTAGCAGAGCACGATGTAGCGCACTAACGAATAGATTTGTTTGCTTGTACTGTAGGGTTACTGTAGTACAGCATTAACGCTATACTAATCAAGCAGGTCCTCCATTTTACTGTAGGGTTATTGTAGTGCAGCACGGTATTAGCAGACCTTTGATCAAATGGGTTTGCCCTTTGTATTGTAGGGTTACTGTGGATGCTATGCGATACTGTCCTGGAGAGTACTAATCGAGTAGGTTTTCTTGCCTTTGATTTGGAATTATTGTAGGGTCACCGTAGCGCAGCAAGGCATCAGCACAGTTCTGAATGAATGGTTTGCTTGCTTCCGTACTTTAGGATTACTGTAGGTGTACTGTAGCGCACCACGCTCTCCGCAGGATATCATAGGTTTCATTGCTTAGTATAACTGCACATGCCCCAGAGTGGGTTCCTCATGGAACCCACCATTTATTTGTGTTTTTTTGTGATGTTCTTTATACATCATGCACTTCTTATTTGGGAGATTTGCGTCCCGTCACCAACATTTGAGAAAGTGTGCAATTGCACAACTAAATGTGTATCTGAGTGAAGTTTGTGATTCAAACAGTTTTTGGTAGCAAAGTTACAAATAATAAGTCATTGGCTAGGTTCAAGGCTCAGAACCACAATTAGAATAAATGACTGTAGTTGTAAAAAGCTAAAAACTGAAGACCTGGTGGGTCCCAAAACTACCTTGCGGGATTTCAGACGTTTCAGAAAATTTGCGATATGCCAGATTCTTTGATTCTAAAACTCTGCAAACTATGAATGTATAGATTGTAAACTTTTCAAACTAGCATTACGCCCTATTATACGAGTATTGCACTCTTCAAAAACAACCATGAATTATAGGCGATTGGAGCATTCCCAAATCATTTAAGGTATGCTTGCGGCCTTAGGAGATGTTTGATCGTTTAAAATATGACAAAAACAAACATTTAAAACTCCATTTGAAGCTAATAAAAGCCTTTGCACTTCCCTCAACTACAGCTGCACTTAGTACATATTGTGAAAAGAGACCTCATTCGTTCGTGGGAGGAATGTGATATTTAAAATTCAGCATTAGCGAAAACGATTACTTCAGCTTCGTATGCAGCTAACGCGCTATTGATGCATAATTGTGCAAAGAACGCAGAGACATTTCCGTAAATGGAACACACTGGAACATACTGCCAAGTGACGTTTTGAATTGTTTAAGTTGATAGGAAAAAAAACTTGACGGGAAATTGCTATATTGGTGCTATGCCGTGCATTCCTCGTGAATGCAGAGAACGAACGAAAAAAAAACAGCACTGGGAGGGAGGGACAACTAGCGTGCCAAGCATATTTCTTCTCGGTTACAAAATAGGGTGTTATGTCCCGAACGTAAAAATGACAATGATTTTGTCTCTGTGCATTTGTGGAGTCCAGCAAAGGGGATGTTCGATTCCTTGAAAGGTTTTCACGGCTAATTCGGCTAGCTTTAGGCCCCACGTATATAAAAACTAAAGTTTGAGCCATGGAAGCGTCTAATTATACTTTTCGAGACACCCAATGATTAAGCACTGTTCTACTGTGTCAAAATGTACACCATTTGATAGTGGAGGGGTGTGGGAAGAAGCGCACTACCGTATTTCAGGCTTTCCATATAGGACCGCGCGACACAGTTCGTGCCGGTTTTAGCATTAGCAAAGAGCGCATTGAGACAAGTCATGCAGGTTGCTTTCAGCTCTTCGAAATGGCGGCTCCTGGGGGTGATAAAGGGGAAGGGGGGAGGAAAGAGTACAGAAAAACGTTAAGTCACCAAAAAACCACATGACAATATTGAATCTTCCTCTCCATATCTAGACATGTTTTCATCTAAATAGTATAATGCGGTTTTGAAATTTGAGCACTGCAAGCAGTTTGTCGGACAAATAACACCTGTACTAATGTCTAAACATAGTGAATATTTCATCAGAGACGCCTTTGAAGCATAACAATAGGTACCTCGAAGTGAGCAGACTTTTCAGAAACACGTGGAAGGGCCACAAAATGATTGCTTATTAAAGCAGAATAAACGCAGGAGGTAGACGGCTGGGAGTGGAAGGGGGGGGGGGAGGGAGGGATAAAAATGAGTCGCGAGATTATTTGATATTGTCCACTACAAGATTATGAGACTAGTCTAGTTCGCAAATATGGAAAGTGATTGATAAAATTCTATTTAGCTGCTTTTTTTTCCTCTGGAACTACAGTTGAAAAAATTGATAAGTTTCTCATGAATTTTTGGAGAACAAGGAAAAATTCGTGGAGCCCTTTCTTTTGGGAAAAGAATTCTTGGAAGTCAGTGAAACACGGCTTTATCGTTAGAATAAAGTTTCAAATGAATTTTCTTTTCTAATTTGAAGTGAACTCAAAATCTGCTTTTTGCAATCTTCAAAGGTTGAGAAGAGCCAGGAACAGATTTACGACGCAACTTGACTGAGAATTCTAAATCTGTACCATTTCCATTATTTACATTGCTCTGAAAAATAGTTTCAGGATTCACAAATCATCATATAGCCTCAATCGTAAATGATTTATGTTTTCGAATCAACTCTCAACGATGGCTTCAAATGCTTTTTACTAACGATTTTTTTGGTTCCAACGTATCGAAAATGAACTTTGAAATATCAACGTTTTGCGTTTTGCCCATATCAAAACATTAATTTTATTGCTATGAACGAGGATGTGAAGATTTTAGCTTTGTGCGCTCGGCTTGACAAGAATAGTTCCATTTTTTGAAAACATTCTGTTTCGAATTCTTCTCTCTGGCGAATTCATTGAAAGATAAAGAAAGAATAAAAACATGGAAGTTTTTGCCAAATGAGCAATTAATCAGTCTAGCATAGAGGAAGCACATTTAATGTGCTGCGAAACATTGTAAGCCTTAATCCGAAGTAAGTAGAATGAGCTGCAGTAGCCATTTATACTAATTGGTACGATGCTTACTAAAAAGCGCCTTATATCGGTTTCGCAAGTTTAGAAATCAAAAAAGTGAATTACGGTAAGACATACGACCGTGATTGGCTGATTTATTTATTTGATTGGTTGACTTATTTTATTTAATTGGCTGACTTTTTTCATTTGATTGCCTGCTTTTTTTCAATTTATTTTTTTGGACCGAAGCCCCGCCCGCCGTGTAGAAAAAAGCTAAAGAAATACCTGTTGATATTACAAATAACACATTCAAAAAACCTTTTATAATCTCTAAGCAGCTGTAAAAAAACAATTGTTGCCGTAAAAAGCCATTTCTAATTCATTTTAAGCTTTGCAAGAAAAACTGGATGAATTCCAAGAAATGCATGCTACAGAATTCGTTTCTTTTCAAAATTTTCCGCAATATTATATGGGAAGAACCGATGCCTAATGAAGGCGCTGAAGCAGTTACGAGTTATTGGATTTACGTCAGCAAGGAATTGTATCGCTGGGAAATGCCACGGAAATTCAGCATAGCTGAAAAATTCCTTTGGGATTTGCTATCTTATAGTCCGCGAATATTTGTGAGTGTGAATTTTATTGTGGCAATAAGAGTTGCGAACTGGCTAAAAGTTGACTTATATGTAGATAGGAGTAAGGAGGAAAATTAGTATAAAACTGATAATGAA